GGATGGAGGGGGGAGATTGTTACGTGTGGAGCTAAGATGGATATGGGAGAGAGGAGAGAGGAACAGGAGCCAAAAACATACAAACAAACAAAAAAGAGTGCTAGGGGAGCTTGCTGTTGGAGTGGAGAGATGAGAGACTATGAAATGGAGGAAAACAAAAAGGGGAAGAAGATGAAAAAAATGAAAAGAATGAATAAATAAAAATTAGAAAGGAAAAAGAACAGCAGAGCTCCCAGGGATCCCACTGGTGCAGCTATGAGGTCTGGGGAAGTTGTTCTCAGGTGTTGCAGTACAGCCAGCTAGAAGGCGTAGAGTTATTCAGCATCAGGTATACAGGGAACAGGAAGAGAAGAAAGGTATAGAGAGATGAGAAACTGAGTAATGAAGAAAGACAAAAAGGGAAAAAGAGGGAAAAGAAAACAAAACAAATTAAAAAAAAAAAAAAAGAACAAGAAAAGCCCCCAAAAAACAGAAAAAAAAAAAAAAAACCCTTGAAGAAAGAAGTGCCCTCAGGGATCCCTCTGCGCGTCTGTGCAAGCCGAGGGGGTAGGTCCGAAGCCATGCAGCGCTGCTTGGCCAGAACGGGCTCCCAACTCAAGAAAAGGAAAAGAAAACAAATCAACAATTCAAAACAAACAAACAAAAAAAAGCCCTGGGATCCCACCAGCAGCCCAGACTGGGAAGCAGTTCCACACTCGAACAGAGCTCTGCAGCCCCTCAGGAAGAAGCAAAGATGGTGTAGGGAGCCAGGTATTTGAGCAAAAGGAGGGGGAGGTGGTCAGAGGTAAGGAAGAAATCAAAAGAAGCGGAAAAAAGCAACACCAGCAGCCAACAGATGGCACTCAGGGAGCCGGTCAGTGCAGGTGGGTGGAATCCAAGCAGCCAGTGCTTCCGGAACAAGAGACTGTGGCTGCGGGAAGCAGAGGAGGCCGAGTGGGCGTGAAGAAGGGTGGGGGGTGGGAAAGCATATATTGCAAATTACCGGTTGTTTTGTCCCTGTTGGAGGCTCTGTGAAGCTGCTTTCTTGTACCCCCTGTTTGCTGGTCTCCGATAGGAGTCCAAGATGGCAGATATATGCTGCGTTAGCTGATAGGGGACCTCTGCATGAATCTCTCCTCGCTCTCCATTCTCTGTCAGTTTTCTCATTCCATTTGGTGCTTGGATGAGTTCTTTATCTCTTCATTTGATGTTTTAGGGTTTCAGGATTGCTGTTTTCTCTGTTGGGCTTAGTTTTTCGAATCTTTGCTGTGGAGGGATGGCGTGGTGCTTCTGCCTAGAGCGCCATTTTCCCGAAGTCCCACACTGATCAATATTTTGACTGCACATAGATTTTTAGGCTGAAATTCTTCAGACTCCCACCCACTCCCCTTTTTAGAAACATTTATGATCTTTTTGAGGCAACTGTCCTGAAATTTCACACTTATATTCCTTGGTTTGGTGTATTTTGACCCATTATGCAATGCCCTCAGTTTTTTGTTCTGGAATCACAGTCTTCAGATCTCAGAACCTTTCTTGTTTTATTTCCCTGTTGATTTTTCCCATTGCATTGTACCTCAGTTCTCCCTGTTTGGAACTTCTGTTATTCGGAAGTTGGATCTCCTGAACTGACTCTAATTTTCTTATTCATTTTCTCTAGTCACTTTGCTCAATTTCCTTGATTTTATTTTCTAAATTTTTTATTTAAGTTAAACAAGTTCTGCTAATATATTTTTAATTTTTAAGAGCTGTATGTTATGGATTGAATTATGTTCCCCCAAAATTTTCATTGAAGTCCTAACCCCTGTACTTGTAAATATGACTCTGTTTGGAAACAGGGTTTTCTTGAATATGTTAATGAGGTCATTCCAGAGTAGGGTGGGTCCTAAACCTAGTAACTTCTGAATGGTCTCTCATAAAAAAATCAGAATAGACACAGACACACATGCGCAGGAGAAAATGCCCAGTGAGGACCTGTTTACAAGTAAAGGAATGTGAAAAATTGCCAACAGAGATGAGAAACTGGGAGAGAGACCCACAGAAGGAATTGACATGACCTAGACCCTGATGTGAACTTTTAGCTTCCATAACTATGAGAAAATAAATTCCTGTTCTTTAAAGCCACCCACTTGTGGTATTGTTTTGTTAGGGCAGCACTAGGTAACTGCAACACTATGAATGGTCTTTTTTTGAATAGAGAATTCTTCTTTCATGGAAACAAAATGTTATCTCTTACATGATGAAGTATTTCTTTCCTTCCTATGTTGTCTTTGTTTCTCAGAACTTGTCAATTTCATCTAAGCTTTCCAGTATGTTGGTGTACAATTTTTAACAGCATTCTCTTATAATCCTTGTTATTTCTGTAAAACCAGTAGTGATGGCCCCACCTTCATTCTCATTTTAGTAATTGAAGTCTTCTCTCTCTCTCTCTTTTTTCTTTTTAGTCAGTCTAGGTAAAGGCTTGTCAATGTTGTTGATTTTTAAAAATAAACATCTTTTGGTTTGTTGATTTGCTCTATTGTTTTTCTTCTCTCTATTTTGTTTAACTCTACTCTAATATTTATTATTTCCTTCCTTCTGCTAGCTTTGGGTTTAGTTTGATCTTTTTTTTCTATTTCTTAAGCTGTAACATCAGGTTACTGATTTGAGGTCTTCTCTTTCCTAACTGCAGTTCCTATCCCAGGATTGGAGTTTGGATGAAGCTACTGCACTGCTCATGTTGGGCACAAAATTGAAGGGAGTGCCAAAAAACTCAGTAATGAAGATGTATCGTATTTTCAAGCAATACTTCAAAATCAAAATTAATGGCAAAAAATCCACAATGAGGAAAATATCAAACTTTTGAATAAAGACAACAAACTTCTGTAAAGATTTACAGCCTTGGAAACACTATGGGGGCAGTTCTACTCTGTCCTATAAGGTTGCTATGAGTCAGAATCAACTTGGTGGCAACGGTTTGGTTTTTGGTTTTTATTCCTTATTAAGTATGTAATTATTGTATTTTTGGAGACCTGCTCGACAGTCAATATATATTACCATAAACCTTTATTTAGGGATTATTATTTTAACTTTATGGATGAGAGAGTCATATCTCAGAAACATGAAGCGTGTCCTCAGGCAACCTAGTTAGCAATTGGCTCCATCTTCTGATTTAGCAGGATGCTGTTCTCATCAGACAAAACCTGTGGCGAGTCCAGTGTAGACCAGTGGAATGGAAAGCTCTAATGTACATAAACACACACTGATCCAAAATAAAATTGATAAAAGCCGTGAACCAGTGGTGATGTTCAAACTGTTTAACTGACTTTAGAACCATGCCTGGCTGGGAACAGCTGGGACGGTACACTGGTGTGCACAGCTGAGCAGCTCCCCCGTGAGAAACAACCCAGAGGGTTTTCTTCTCCTCTTCTCAAAAGGCACAGTACACCAACCAGAGATGTTTGAAACTCAAAGCTGAGCATCAAAATATCCCCCATTCTGTCTGGAATAATGTTTTATTTGCTTTAAGCTTCTTTGTCCACTGGACTTGTAATCAAATGGCTGAGGTTGGAGCTTGGGCCTTCTCTAGTACTAATTCACCAACCTTGGGAAAGTTTCCTAACATCTCATTTTTTTTTTAGTTTCTGTAACTCTAAAGTGAGGGTAAATTGCACCTGAAATATCTTTTGTGTAAAAGCACATTTTAACCAAAAAATCTTTATATATCCCTGGCATATTACTGATGCTTAATAAATATTTGGTAAGTGAATTTGTTTAAATTAACCTGAAGGTGCAGTGGTTAAGAGCTTGGCTGCTAACCAAAAGGTCAGCAGTTCGAATCCACCAGCCACTGCTTAGAAACCCTATGGGGCAGTTCTTCTCTGTCCTATAGGGTCACTATCAGTCGGAATCAACTCGATGGCAACGGGTTTGGTTTTTTTCATTGAATTTCCACAAGTTTGGTGTTAGAGGTCTTTTCATTTCTTCCAGCTGTAAAACTGGACATGTATATCTTCAGCAGACCACACCTTTACGCAATGCAAAATATAATACCATATAATTAAATTTATTTCCTATTTAATTCCATATATTAAAATACTATAAATGATACTAACTATCTAGATTAGATGTTAGATTGAATTAAATAGTAGAATATACTCTCAGATCAGGAGTCAGGTTTTCTTGGTATGTAAGAGTTTCTCGGCAGCTGAGAAGTGGGTAATAATTACTCTACACCACCCTAATTCCCAGACAGAGGTCCTGATTAGGATCTAGAGGCTGCCGGGAAGTGAGACAAGACTGGCTGGGCTGGCTGTGTTCTTTATGCCTTCATCCCACTACAAGACAGATCTGTACCTTAACGTATGGATTCCAAGGGATGGAGCACTTGCCCCCACCGATCACACGACCCATTTCGTTCAGCATAGTACTCTTGGTCAGTTTCATGATCTCTGTCACCACGTATAGGTTCTCCCTTTTCTTGCGGCACTCCTTCAGAAACGCTGGCTCTTTCTTCCATGTTTCCCTGGGGATATAAAGAAGGTGAAGAAGGGTCAGAGTTGGGAAAGGAACACCTTCCTGCCTTGCTCTGGGTTACACTTCTCCTTAGGACCTAGAAGGGGTACAGTGCATTTAGACCTTGACAGTTAAGTCCTCAATAGGTAAGAAGATATTGACTTAAGAGATTAAGTTACCTGTGACAACAGAACATTTTCTCTGATAGATAGGGTGGAAGAGTATGTGTACCATATCTTTAAGGGCTGCTACATGTTCCAAAATGATAGAGGTCCTGTTATGGGTAGTTTATGGATTTACCTCACTAGGACCTCTCACTAGAAAAGGCTAGAAGTAGACCAGTTCAGACGGTTGAGAACAGACCTTGGGAGAACCTATTGACCAAGCTGGGGAAACCCACACAGCTCACACAATCAGGATGGGAAGTAAAGCAGAATGGATAAAGTATGAGGAAGCAGAGAGGATTCTTGATGATTTTCAAGACTAGTGATTTTCAAGACAGGTGGATCTTTATCGATTGACTCTCCTTGGTGGGTGGATTGGTAAATTGAAGATAATAGGTTCAGGGGGAGATGTGAGAGGTTTGAAGCCCTGAAGGCAAATTTCAACTCCATTTCAGTTTTGAAGCCTCAACCCTTATTCTAGACAGAGCAACCCCTGGTCTTAGTGCCCTGGATACCAGCTGTGTCGAATACTGAGACACACTGAACTTGCTTTTTGAGGGAAGAGGTTACTGACTATCCAGTACTGGGTTTTCCCATTGCCCTTGGAGTAGAATTCAAGCTCCTTACTGTGTCTTCAAGACCCTCTGTCATCTGGCCTCTACTTATCTCCCAAGCCTCATTTTATATCACCCTTGTCCTGGCAGGCTTAGCTTCCACCTCGCTGGCCTTTGTCTGATCCCTGAAAACACCAAGCTGTGTCCTGCCCCGGGGGCTTTAAGCCCTTCATCTGGACCCCTTTCCTCCTGCTCTGGACTGTGTCTTCTCACCTTTCAGGTCTCAGCTCAAATGCTAGCTCCATCAAGAGACCTAAGTAGACCCCTCCATCCAGCCTCTCTTTCACCTCATCCTGTTTATTGTCTTCAGAGTGCCTATCACAGTCTGTCATTACTTTTGTACCTGAGAAACATTACAGGCCTTCTCATCTCATTTGTTACAAGGATCTAACTGCCTCTTCTTTTCTGAATTAAAGGTTTTGATTTCATGCTTTTTTTCTTTTGGTGGTAGCTAATAAAATTTATCCTTGAAATTACAGCTTCTTTAAATGCTGAAAGAAATCTCTAAGAGAAAAATTTTTCTCTTTCCGTGCAGCTACAGAAACTCAAACACTGTTTTGCACCATAAACAGTCTTTGCAGTTGTTAGCTCTAATAAGGGTCTTATGAGACACTAGCAAGGAGCACTGGTGGTGCAGTGGTTAAGCACTTGGCTGCTAACCGACAGGTCAGTGGTTCAAACCCGCCAACTGCTCCATGGAAAGAGACGTGGGAGTCTGCTTCTTTAAAAATTTACAGCCCTTGGAAACACTATGGGGCAGCTCTACTCTGTCCTACAGGGTTGCTATGAGTCAGAATCAACTGCAGTGGGTTAAATGGGTTAACACACCAGGAGTACAGGAATTGTGTGATGTGTGTCAAGGTAACTTTTAGTCTCTAAAACAGTCTTTGGGTTTTGACTAGTTGCTCACTTAGTAAGTGATTGCCTTTGTAAGAATACTACTTAAATTGACACCTCTGCTGTCTGAAAATATAAGGACATATGAGTTGCTTTTGTTTAAGCCTTTAGAGGATCATTGGGGAGCCTTCTTTTTCTACATGTGTGGAGCTAAATTAAGTTCCAGGGCCCTGATGCATACTTTATTCAAACAAGGCTTAAGAGTCTTTTTCTCACTTAAATTAATAATTCATTCATTTATTTTTTAATTGCCTATTTTCTCACTCCCTGCCTTTCCCCTGTCCCCACTAAATATAAGCTGCTTTTGGTCAGGAATTTTATCTGTGTCGTTCATCATGCTATCTCTAGCATATAATAGCACAGTAATGGGCAATTACTATTTTAATAAATATCTATCAGGTAACTAGTGATTATTTGTTGAATAAATGAATGAACAAATGAATGCCCCAGGAGAGCAGGGGTAACCTGTGATGTCATCATCTTCATTCCTAGCCTCAGCACAAAGCCTGCTAGATGCCTCTTTGCCCACAAGGAGAGCATCCCCTGGGGCTCTGCTGACCGGTCCCATCCTTTCTCATGGGCTCACCTCTTTTGAAGGTCTGTCCAGGTTTGGGGTGGGATTCTAAGAAACTGAAACTCGAGGGAAGATTCTTGGAACTCAGTAGCTTCCCCCAACACGCTCATTTCTAGCCCAATGTTCACCTCCACATCCACATCACCCTTCTGCTTTTGGACCCCAGCGATATTGAAGAGGAACGGTTCTGTTGAGACAGTTTCCGGGGAGAGAAAAGTTGACAGGTTTAGCCAAGAATTAACTTTGGAACAGCTAGTGTGTGAGATGGAATAACTGAAGCTTCAGCCCGAGGGGTCGCTGGGCGTTACAAATGGTTAACGTGCTGGCTGATAACCCCAAGGTTGGAGGTTTGAGTCCACCAAGAGGCATCCCATGAGAAAGACCTGGTGATTTACTTCTAAAAAGAAATTGGCCATTGAAAACCTTATGGAGCACAGTTCTACTCTGACACACCTGGGGCTGTCATGAGTTGGAGTAGATGCGACAACAACTAGTTTCTGGTTATTTTGCCCCATCCCTCCTTCACATTTAAATGTCTCAGTGGTGAAGCTAATCAATTAAGTCAGGAGACCAAATGTTTAATTCCACACAGGGGTTGATTAACAGGGATGATATCTTCTTAGGGTGAGGAGACTCAAGGGGTCGTCTTTGCTGACACAGCGTCTCCTTCTGCAGCCAGGAGGCAGCACACTGGAGCAGAACATGCTTGGAGCAGACAGACATGGCTTTAGATCCTAGTTCTACCAGTTGCCAGGAATTCAACTTTGAACAAATTATTTTATTATCTTCAATTTCTCTTATGCAAAATGGGGATAACATCCCTACTTCACCAAGTTGATGTAAGTATTAAACATACTAATGTCGCCTGGGCCCAGACAGTTAGTAGATCCTCAGATAATCTTAATTCCTTGCCCCTTGCCTTTAGGGAAGGCTGATCCTGAGATCTGCTTGTCCTGGAGTTTCAGAGACTCTTGGTTGTAATGCTACCTCTATCTGTGCATCTGTGTTTTGTACTTCTTGCCCCCTTACCACTGGATGACAATACCTGGGATTGAAGAACTTGGCTCCAGTATGTCCATGAGGGAGAATTCAGTTGGAATGTCAGGTTGTTTCCAAAACCATGAGAGAAAGTTACCCTTCTTCTTCTGTATCACAATAAACTGATGGAACTTGGTGGCACTGCTCAGACTTTTGACGGGCTTTAGATCTTCTCTCCCCACCTCTTTGAGCAAATTCTTAACATAACGCTCAAACATGGAGGTCATGTTGCTAGGAGCAGATAGAAGGGGAGTACAAACTTCAATTGGGAGGGAGAAGAAAATGGGGAATCTCTTACACATTTTTGATATTTTTCCTAAAGGGAAGGGATCTGTATGTGTCATTGCCGTTCCAAGCTTAGAATAGTGACTAGATTATAACTCTCTCAATTTTGGTATTCTGTGAAATTCATTGCTCCTTATGACTGGAGTAGGAAAGCCTCTGAATCCCCTCACCCCAACCTAGGGGTGCTGTAAAGGCCGAGGATGGCTTGATTCCATCATCAGCTGAAGGGCCAGAGAGAAGGTTGGGTTTGTGTGAAACGGACATGGGTAGTGGTCGTGGGATGGTGGTGTTTGCAATTTTACAGTGAAGACCTCACTGAGAAGTGACATTTGAACGAAGACTAATGCCGATGGGGAGGGAACCGTGTATCTAACTTGAGAAAAAGGATTTAATCAGCAAGTACAAAGGCTGTGAAGCAAGACTAGCCTGGAATAAATGAGGTAGAGAGAATGAGTTCAGAAGACACTGAGGGTCAGAGGGTATAGGCCCTTGTTGGTCTTTATAATGACTTTGCTTTTACTCGGAGTGAGATATAAGATCAATACAAAAAATCAGTTGCAGTCCTGGATACTAGTCATAAACAATAGAGAGTATAACTAAGGAAGGGAGTGACCTAAATAGATTCGTGAAACAGAAAGATCTTCCTGTCTGCAAAGGGGCTATAGTGGATGAGTGTAGATTAGTTATAGGACTTTTATAGCAGTGGTTCAGGTGAGAGATGATGATGGCAGCTTATGCTGTGATGATAATTGGGAGATGGGGATAAATGGAGATGCTCTAAAATCAGAAGGAGTTGGTGATGGCTTTTGTGGGGGCATGAGGAAGAGGGAGGGATAAAGGGTGATTTCTGGGTTTCTGACTTGGTTAATTTGGTGGATGGTGGTGCCATTTTCTGAAAGAAGACCTGTTTGAAGAGGAAGAAAATGAATTCATATTTGGACATGTTGATTTGCGATCCAAGAGGAGATTAAAACAGTTATACAGACTTACACTCAAGAGAACTTCCCTAGAGATGTAAAAAGTTTGAGTTATCTGTATGTAGGTGGAAATTGAAACCTTTAGAGTAGATGTAGGAAGGTAGAGAGAGAGAGAGTCAGAGAGGAGGAACATGAATATTTAATAGCTGGGAAGGAGAAAGTTTTAGCAGGCATTTTGTAGAACAGATCAGATAATAGCAATCTATTTAAATTGCTCTCTCTGGGCATATAGGAATAGGGTTTCCCAGGTATACAGAAGACAGTTTTTGTACATTTATTGAGTGGTTGAATAAAGACAGAATTTTCAACCGTTCATTCAAAAGCCCTGATGTGACCATTCTAAATCTGTCTGCTGTGGGCCACAGAAGAGGTCAGTGGACAACAGAGAATAATGGTTCAAAAGAAGAGTTTAGACTGGACCTGGACAAAGATGTACCTATTAGCCTTACATGCTTGCGTGTGAGTATTATCAGGAATTCTCCACCATTAAGGAGAACTTTTGGAGGAAGTGCTACCTTACTTTTTGGTAAAATTATGCAAAAAAACAAAAACAAAAAAAAACTCCTCTATTCATTTTCCAAACCCATCCTGAATATTTCTGTCTCTGACCATAGTACCTTCTCCTCTTTTTATTCATGCCTTGATCCCTGGTTAGAACTTACCACATGGAAATTGTTTTGTGGAGAAAGAGTTCGATGGAGTAAGGTATCTGCCAATCTTCAGATTTCCTGATGCCGAGCAGATTTTGTCACAGACCACTCCAGAGACCAGATGAAGGTGATTCAGCTCTGCTTTCTACCTGGCAGATGGTCCCTCTCTCAATTTCCAATGCAATCTCCTGGAAAAATAAACACTTGAGGACCCTCTTCTCTTCAAGGAGAGCAGGTCTGGAGCTGGGTTCTAGATCACAGAACCTTAGCTGCCAAGTCCTTCGCTGCCGAAGGTTTATGAAACAGATCTGGTAGAGTTCGATTACTATCTCTGCTAGGTTGTCTGGGTGCAGAGCCAGTTGGGATCTTTGGGAGCAGTGCCATTTTCTTGCCACAAAGAGAACTGGCTGAGCAAGTCTTTGACTGATAGATTTCTGTTTACTGTGACTGGAATGCCTTATGTGACTCATACCCTGTCATAAATGTGCTGTGTGTAAAATGTAAACATTTGGCAATTTTTTATAGTCTTTTAACACACTACTGTTGTGTAGGATTTTATTTTAGAAAATTAATAGAGATACTCAGGTTTATCATGCATAACACTCGTTTAGTTTATTGCAAGGTGGTGATGACAAGGAGGGCAAGTAAAACCTCACAACATTCATTTAGAACCGGAGAATCAGACTTAACAATTACAATGTTAGTTAAATGACTAGAGTCCACATCTTTAGATTTCAGACTGTACCTTTAACGACAAGTCTTGGGAGGAAGGCTTAACCACGGCTCCAACTTGGCAGAGGTCCCTTGTAGCTAGAGTCCAAGGTTGGCAGCGGTGGGCAGTGTCTGAGCAGGCTCTCGATCTTCAGAGAGACTAAGAGACTAGAGAAAGATCCCTTTGCCTCTGCCTTCTCTCAGTGAGTGAGCAGAAATTCAGGGTTTATATGTGAAATTCTCACCTTGGTCTCACGCAATAAGGGCCAGTGAGACGTAAAAGACTAGTATGTTAGGACGTTTCTCCAGGATTAGAGTTTACTCAATTGTCACATTTTTTCTTCAAGGTTAGAGGTTAAGGAAGTTGTTCAGATTTATGTCTCGAGGATAGTTTACAAAGATTAAGTATGTTATTATTTTTTTTTATCACAACACGTCAGGTCAAAGTCAATTTAACATAAAGGTTGTTATACCTTCTTTACATACTTCACATGCTTCTATGCCTAAGTTGAGAAATTTTTTAAATAACTTTCTTATGACTTACAGGTTTCTAATGGCTTATAGTTAATATTAGACAGCCTCACAAAGACAAATTTCTATTTCTGAGTTCATATTATGGGTGTGTATTCATATGTACTTTGAAAGCATAGTATACCTAATGGGATTTGAGATCTTTATAGAAACACACAGAGCAACCACAAAAGTGGGGGCAGCGATGAATCTGGTATCATTCAAGGTCTGGACAGGACATAGAATGGCATGCTCAAACAGAATAATAGAGAACAATTGAACGAAGGTGCTCTTTACAAAGGTGTGTGCAGGGGTAAGAGAAACCAAAAAAGGATTGTGATGCCGCCTACAGTCATTAGTCCTTCTAGGATAGAAGATTAGGGCGAGGGGACGGGAATATTACTAGAAACTGGAAGGCAAGCGGGCCACTTTGAGAGGAGCAGCCAGCCTGAGATTATCTCACGGAGAGGAAGCTGGAAAGACTATCTCCAACTCATTCTCCACTTATCCTCTGCTTTCTATTGGCACAATCCATCTGGAAGCCACAGGCATGCACAGGAGTCCATTGATGGAATCCAGAGGTTCTAGTCCTGGGGGAGAATCCATAGGGAGGGTCAAACAGAAGATTGCTAAAGCTCTGTTTTCCTCTTATCCTGAGTATATTGCACTCTGGAGTTCCAGAGTAATTTGGGAAAGGTCTCTTGTGAGACTCCCCACTCTGTTCAGGCCCTGGTCTTTGACATCTGTCCTTCTCATCTTATTTATTGAGAACAGTAAACCCACAGATCCAAAAAGCTCAATGAATCACAAGCAGAATAAGCACAAAGAACATCTTAAAAATCTTAAAAGCAGCCACAGAAAGAAAGACATTGTATACAGGGGAATAAAAATAAAAATTACTGCTAATTGCAATGCGAACCAGAATACAATGGAGCAAATTTTTTTTAATGTGAAGGGGGATAAAAAACCAAACCCAAACTCTCAACCTAGAATTGAGAACAACTTTTAGCAAAACATCTTTCAAAAATGAAAGGAAACCTTTGCTTCTGGCCAACATTGAGTGACAGGGACTGGATTTTTCCTTCTGCTTGAGACAACTGAAAAAAAAAAAAGAGACAGAATATATGTAATAATGGTTTTCAAGACAGTGGACACTAGGCAACAAATGACAATGATTTTTGAGATATGTGAGGAAAAGAAGGTGAGTACTGTAATTGCCCTAGCTTACTACCCTGAGAGAGTTTCTAGGCCATGGTGCAAGGAGGGGGGAACTCATGCAGAGCCTGGCAGTCTCCCTGAGTTGAAGTGACAGAACTGGAAGTCCAGGGAAGCCAAGGCAGCTAGAGTTTGCAGAAGAGAGTACCAGACAGGAAAGAGCTGTACAGAGAGAAAACTCTGGAGACTTGCAGAGGGTCCCTGGTTGGTTAACATATAAACACAAGTTAACCGAAGTTAAGTTGTTAATTGATTCAACAGATTTAATTGGTTCTGGTGGATATTTGTTACAGAAGAAAATGTAAAAATTATGTGGGACACAATCAAGAGCAAAAATTTGCATGTGATTGGAGTTCCAGAACAGGAGGAGAAAAAATGGAAAACACAGAGAAGATTGTAGAAGATTTGCTGGCAGAAAACTTTCCAAATATCATGAAAGACGAAAAGCTGACTATCCAAGAAGCTCAATGAACCCTATATAGGACGGACCCCAAAAGAAAGTCACCAAGACATATCGTGATTATACTTGCCAAAACCAAAGACAAAGAATCCTTAGAGCAGTTCGAGAAAAACAAGAAGTCACTTACAAAGAGGAAACCAAAGACTCCACTCTGATTACTCGTCAGAAGCTATGCAGGCAAGAAGGCAATGGGATAACATAATATAAAACCTTGAAAGAAAAGAAACTGCCAACTAAAGAATAATATATCCTCCAAAATTCCCTCTCAAATATGATGGCAAAATTTGGACATTTCAAGATAAACAGAAATTAAGGGAATTCACAAAAACAAAACCAGACTTACAAGAAATAGTAAAGGGAGTTCTTTGGTTACAGAACCAATCACATCAGACAACAACCAGAGTCTAGGACACAGGACAGCATCAGCCAGATGCCAACCTAGGTAAAGAAGTCTCAATAATAAAACAAAGCTAAAAGACTTAAAACAGA